AAATGAAAGATCAGAATTTCTATAGTGAATACTGTGCTTCAGAGCTTCCAATTTTATTTTTATTTTGAATGGCTCTCTAAAACCTGGTCAAAAACATATCACTACACAAAATTCTGCACAGGTACCAGAGGATTTTTCAAGTATGTGTCTGTGGTAACCATAAGAATATAGGTTTCTGTAAGCACAGGTCATGGAAGTGTAGGTCCTTTGCTATTTTCTCAATCATTTGAAAGAAAAATAATCTGCCTCTTACGGACTTTCCATTTGGCAAACTTGAAAGAAATAATAAACCTGTTATTCTTGGCTTGCTGCTTGCCATTTGCCTGTTCTGAGTTTAGTAATATGCTGGTAACCTGGATCGTTTCTCTTACAGTCTGTCTTTTGTTCCTGTTGTGGGTTTGGTTTGGTTTTTTTTTTAACAGCAAAGTTGTTATCTAATGGGTTTTAGACATGGAGACTGTTAATTCTTAATATTAGACTTGAAAAATGAATTGCTGTTTTAATCTTCTGAAGTTATAGCTTGATCAGGCAAGACTACAGTAGTTAACTATGTAAAATCTGCCTCGTCATTCTTGAGCTGAAACACTGTGTTGGGTCAAGGTTTGTGGTCTCGTGAAAAAGGTCATGAAAAAGAAGTCTTTAAAATTGCATGTGTAAGAGGCTTTTTGGGGTGGAGAAACTGTGAGCCCTTAATGGTTTAGCTCTTGAAACTGAGAAATCATGAATTCAAGAATGAAGATGATCAAGAATCCAATCAAGAATTCTCAAGCTGTTATTGAGTTTGAGAATAATAAACTGTTCTGCATAATTGTTCCCTGTGAATCTTTGCAGAGATGGAGGTAAGATATTTAACAAATAAAGATTGGTGGACTTGATAGTTAAGGCATGATTTTAGACTTAGGAGAAACCTAGCTATTACTCTTTGATTCATTCATGTTTTTGTTAATGGTCACAGTTGGCCAACATACTTTCTTGAGCTTGGTAAAGACATGCTTGTTTTTTCCATTCTAGAAAAATCGCTGCTTATATGTATTTGGTGGCCAGAGATCGAAGACTTATTTGAATGACTTCTTCAGTTATGATGTAGACAGCGATCATGTGGATATCATATCAGATGGCACTAAGAAAGATTCAGGGATGGGTAAGAGTATAACTACATATTAATTTCTTCCTGTTGGTACAAATGAGAAATACATTAAGTGGGTGAAAGGCCAGCTTCAGTGTCCTGTGGTATCAGGTTAGCATCTCAACTAGCCCTACGTACCCAAGTAAACTCCACAGTATATAGGTTAAACTCATGCCAGCTCTTTTCTCCTACCTGTCATTTGACACTCACCATCTTCAGCCCAGTACAAATAATTGATGGATGAAACCACATAGCCCCTCAAAAGAAAAAAATTCAGCAAAGTAAGAACTAAAAATATCTCCTTTGAAACTCCAGCAAAGACAAAAAAAAAAAAAGGCTGAAAAAATAATTTTCTTTGAACCAGGAAAGGAGAAAGCAATTTTTTTTCCCAGTTTTCACCAAGTGAAAGATGCCATAAAACAGAAATAATCTGCTTGGTTTGAGATGCAGAAAGGTGGGTAAGATGCTCAGAGACAGAGAATTGGAGTAGAGGGATAGAATTTATTTTGCCTGGGAGGAGCTGACTAGGAAGGTGAGGCCTGTTGTCTTGTTATTCTTGTACTAAATTATCAGGGGGTGGCAAAAAAAGGTAGGAGGAGGGAGCAAGGCTTCAGTCCTGTTTGGTTCATACCACTGGAGCTGTATACACCAGGCATAGTTCTGTATACCAGAAGCCTTTAAAAACACCAAAAGGCATTGTAACACAACCATAAAGAACTGATTTTATACCTCTTCTTTTCAAATGACATAAAGAATAATGTTCTTCTTTTCCAAAAAGGATTTCTGCATGTATAAGCACATCATTTTTCTGTTGCAAATATCCTGATTTTCAGCGTACAGCTCAGAAGTAGAAATTTGTGTTGCAGTGTATACTACTATAGGAGAGAAGTTATGACTATTTCTCATATTATGTATATTTAGTCCTGATCTTGTTTTCTCTTCTTCCAGTTACCAAAATCCCAGGAAGCTAATTTATCTTGAGTTTAGGCTGCCCGCCTTATTTTGATCAGGCTTAATTTTTAGCAAGTAATTTTGCTGAACTTTTGAAGTGAATTATTGATGGTTATGAGTTATTGTTTGCTCATTAATTTAGTTATGCCAATGAGGGAGAAGAGTACCCAAGCTCTTATTCTCTGGAGTAATTTATTTACTTGAGTGCTTCCAAGAAAGAACCAGCTTGTATTGTTGACATTCTCCCTTATTAAGGTGCCTGCGTGTTGCCTGATGCTGCTCTACACACACCCACGCACCGTTTGTTGTCCTCAGAGCTTTTAAAGAATTGATTTTTTTTTTCCATGAAATTGCTAACATTCTGCCATTTTGCTTTTTTAAAACTACATTTCTTTATAGCCAGAAGCTTTAAAACCTGTGGCTTTAAGCTGATGCCTGTGTCTGCTTCAGGTTTAAAGATACTGAGCTTGCCTTATGGCTGGAGAAGACACTGAGCTCTGCTTCCCAGCAAGTACATGAACTGCAGGGTTTGGTTAATCGAAGGAGACTATAATACTTAGCCTTCCTCCCCATTCCCACAGGCCCCGAAGTGGTGAATAGTAGACCTCGTAAGAAAATGACTCATTGGAAATAATTCACGAGTAGATTTTCAGTTTGCTGTTCTGTGTGTAGAAAGTAAACAGATTTGAACATTTCCCTTGCTTTTGAAAGAAAATGCTAGGATTATTTGCATTTTAACAGGAAGAGAACAAAATGCTTGTTACATACAGACAGCGAATGCTGACAGCACTATTTTCACCCAAAAAAGCAAGTCTTTATTGTGCTCTTCTTAGGTAGTGATACACCATTTTGATCTGTATGAACAAAGTGATTCCCTGACTGGTCGCTGTGAAGTTTTAAGCTGCTCGGTGTGATGAGTCAAGTTGAGGATGCCTGACCTAAATGTTCCTATAAAGTCGCATGATTACATTTTGTTCCTGGCTCGCATGTGGCATTCGGTTCTATTCTTAGTTGAGCTATTTTGATTTTTACCCTTTCTAAAAGAACTTAATTGTGCATTTGTTTAAAATTTCCGTTAGAGTAGTGAGAAGTTTTTAAAAAAAGTAGTAAAGTGGGTAGTTAAGGATTGTCAGTAATATGGAGTTGTTGCAATACTAGAAAACCATGGCAATGATGTGTTGGTTTTGCTGCTCTCATCTTCTGGATGAGATATTTATGTTGTTTAGTGTTTCTTTGATCTTAGTTGTGCTTTTGATGTTGATCCTGGAACCAGTTCCTTGTATAGGTGATATGTTTGAGAGAATACTGGGTGATAAGTATCACTTAAATTTTCTTAATTGGGAGTAAAGAACAATAATTTTAGCAAGTTTAGATGTGCTTTCTTCATTCCTGGGAGAAGTTCAAATTTGATCAAGGTACAATTTCTAAAAGATGGGTTTGCACACAGCTTTGCCTGCTAAAAATGACTCCTGACTCAATCTGTGTTGAACGTGGGTAGGCCCTGTGGCTCTTCATGTCTGCCAAATGCATTTGCCAGTGAGCACGGGAGCTTTCTCCAGCTCATTGCATCAAAAAACCTGGTGCTTTCTCTTTGCTGTTGAAGGAGGGCACTACAGTGAAATTAGGCCATTAGGGGTGGTTATCTTTCTGCTGCATAACTGTTACGAGCAAGAAATTTGTTAGTTCAGCTAGAGAATGGACAAAATGGGACTGAGGAAAAGAGAATGCAGCTGTGATAATGAGTACTGTGGTAATGAGTCGGATATGAAGAAAGGCAGTAGTGGTGCAAAGTGGAGGAAGTGTAGTACAGTTGAATAGAGCCTCTGGTTGGAGGAGAGGCAGAAACGTGTATGTTGATGGTCATACCCTTTTCGAGCAGTCGTATACTTTTAATTGCTTTTATAGAAACAACAACACACAAACGGAGGGGGGGGGGGGGGGACAACCCATAGCGAGTGGGGGGGGGGGACACCAACCCCAACATGCATATGCCAGAGTATGACTCTGAAGCATACATGTGGTCTAGAGATGCCACCAGTATCAGATGTCTTCAAAAGGCTGTACTGACAGCTTGCCTGACTTGCTTAGCACACAGTCCATGACTAATCACGGGCGGTCATTTCAGGTCTAAGGGAGCTATTGGGAACACTTGTGGTCCAGGTTCCTGTGATAATCCATTTTGGCCCTGACTCAGGTGGTGTCAGAGCTGGTGGTCAGAGGGAGAATTTCCTTCTGCAAGAGAATCAAGATCATCTTATGTCCCTTGGCATCGAGTAACTTCCAAAGTCGAGTGAGAACAAGCCTTAAACGTTCTTGTCGCTCCTTTTAATGGTGAAGTAGTTCTTATGGGCAAACTGCAAATATTTTTTTAGCTAACAGTGAAGTTCCCAGGTCTCTTGCTGGGGCAAGTGCTCAGTCCAGATACAGAACTGGGCACCTGACAGAGGGGAGGTTTCATGGCTAAGTACCACGGACAGAGGCGACACAGCCCAGTCCAGGAAATCCTGATTGAAAACAAGATGATGTCAGAAAAACAGTAATCAAAGTAGAAAACAAAGCTAGCCCAACATGGCCAGCATCCAACTCAGACAAGTGGTCTGAATATCCCATTTTGATCGTCTCTTTGTGACACCTGACATGTTTTGCCCGTGTTCAGTTTAAGGTCTACCTTGCCAGAGGTCAGCATGTCTCCTGCCACAGAAGCACTTTGTTTTGTGAGGGACCTTAAGTGCTCTTCATCTTCAGAGGTGAACCAATTCTTCTCTGAACCAATCTCAAAATACTTTCCTCCTACTGTGAAGGTAAGGAGGAGAGCAGGCAGTGGCCAGATCCTGAGGATGCTTTACAGAGATGTCATAGCAGCAGAATTCCATTCAAATATACTATCTGACCTGTTTTTTTTTCCAAAATCTTACATTGCTTGGGAGAGCACTGAGTGCTGGATGTCGCGTTGTTGCTTTTTCAACATGACAACCAAACTGTTCAAATGGTCTCCTTAGTTGCTCCTTGGCTGACTGCCAAATGCAGTCTCATCATGAAAAATCCAAGAGAATAATCATTATCTTGCTGTGTCAACAGCTGGCCAGCATGCTATCTCTGTCACTCATCCAGGTTTGCTCCATTAAAGTCAGGGGAGGTGCTGCTTCAGTTTTATATGGGTTGCAAGTAGTGGTATGGAGTAACTTGCTGGTTACCGCTTTTTCAAAATTAATCCATCAGGGAGTTGCCAGGTTCTGGTGAATGGCAATATCCATGGGATGTAGCTTTCTCCTGTTTTTTTAATCATGAGGCATCACAAGGAGGGAGGATACTTGCAAGTCACTTGTGGGATTAGCAGTAACACGTTCTGAGGGTTTTGTAACTTAGGTGGCACTAAAAGGCTGTCAATGAACTTGCTTCCCTGAATTATCCTTCACGAATCCTTCAGAAGTGGTCTGCAGACTACAAGTTTCATCATTGTTTTGCTAGTGCTGTGTTTCAAAGCATGTTTAAAAACATGCTATAGTTTCTCCTCCGATGAGAGAGATGAGATTTAATTTCCAACCTTCTGTCTAGTACTATGAGAATCACATCTGTGAACTCCCGATTTACTGCTTTGGAAACTCTGCCTCTGTGCAAAAGCTCTGTTTTTTTGCTTAGATACTGGCAGCAGCCAACGTTGCGCTTGAAACAACTGTAGCTCTTTGCACATACAAGCCAAAAAATAATCAGCTTGCTGAAATGATCGCTATGATCAAATAAATGCCTGTAAGTAGGGACTGTGGCAGGGGGAACATATGTGTTTCACAATTAGGTGTCACTTTTCTACAAAAGCTTTCCCCATGCATTATATTTTAATGGAAATTATATTGTACAGGGTTACACAGCATCTTATCAAAGCTTTCTCAGGAATTACTACTTGTTTATGTAACTGGCTGATAACTCAAGGCCTGCGTGGCTGAATATTGTTTTCAGATACTGAGGCCATGAGCTTTTCATTTTTGCTATATACAAATAAATGAAAATGTTAAGTTCTGGAGAGAGGATTCAGACCTCTTATTTCCAATTAGTTACTGCCCTTCTAC